CATGAAAACACAATTCAACCAACAAATGTTTCAGCACAGCGGCCTTCACATTTTATTCCCTATTACGTTACAGAAAAAGAAGAAACCTTGTTCATTTTTTTATTTATTCGTTTTACTTCAAAGGCATCTAGCGATCTCTACAAAGTGGTGAGACTTGGAAAATGATAAAAGCCGTGTTTATACATTGTGCGTAAACAAAAGTCATATCAAATAGTGACAGATATCTCGATTTTATGCCTGCACGTATACATATATAAATCAAATTTATAACAAGTTAGCTCTACAGCTATAGAGACGCAACGACGTTAAAGCAGACGAAAAGCGGAAGACTTAATATAATTGTTTCGCTTTCATAACTAATCTTAATCTTCAAGATCAAATTTTCACATTAATCTTTAGCGAAAAAAAAAATATGTGTGTTTTTTATGGTATAACGTAAGGGAAGGAACACGGATTTATTATTGTTAAGAAAAACTCGGACCAACACGGAATATTCGGGCGGTTGTTACGCGATAAGGAAAATTAATTATTTGAGTCTCGTTTTCAAGGTTGTATACGGAAATTATATAAATTTAAATAAAAACTAATAAAAGCTGCAACAATAAAAAAAACTAATAAATTCGTCGCGTTTTTTTTTCCGCTTGTTCGCTTGTTTTTATTTTTGCAGTTTCTCAGGAAGGAATAGACAGAAAACATGTGGCACACTGCGCTCGCGCTACGAAGCTGCGGCGAAAAAAAAAAAGAATTACGTGCGAAAAAAAGCATGACGTCAATACCCTTTGTGGCGTCACGAATTATTTATGTAAGGTACACACACGTTATTTTGAAGCCCTGGTCTTACGGTGATCTCCTTCGTAATGCAGGATCTTTTATTAGATTATTTTCTTTTTTTTTTATATTACGTAAAAAAATAAGAAAAAGGAAAGGGAAAAAACAAAAATACGAACGAGAAAAAACGCTTCTCCAGATGGCTTGAGGAGGCTATAGGAAAGCTAGTAATCACAAATGATGTGATCGGTTTCTAGAGAAACCTTTTTGTAAAGATAATAGCCTAGCCGAGTTGTGTTGGAGTAGTCCCTGTTTCCTTTTGAAGCGACAAATTTCGAGATCTCCTTTAATCTGAGTCCCAATTTTCTTTTGAATTCTTTCAACGCCTTACACACTTCGTAGTTGCAGAACCTAAAGCCCGCGATAGCGAGAATATGAAGGCGGACTAGTGTGTTAAGAGGAAACGATAGTATTGAAAAGGCAATAATACGATTATTCTAGCAATTACTACGTAAGACGTTATAAAACAAATACAGAATTACTTCAAAAACAATTGATTATAAGTCATCTGATTACTTGTAACAATTGCGTGCAACTCTTTTGAAGCAGCGATAGCCTTTAACGTAGCTCAAAATAGTTCACGCCGAGCATGACGTCACCACACGCACCATGTCCTAACGTCACATGACATCACGTCACCGTGTGACGCCATGAGCTCACGTGACCAGTGACGGCGCGTAATATGATGACGTCACGTGACGTTACAGAGTTACGTGGCACCCTCATGTCACGTGCATCACCAAAAAATACGATTGATTTTTTTTTTTAAGGTGAAAGGTACATGTTTTTTCTTTCTTCCAGCTTTCAAAATTCCACCTTTAAAATAAGACTTCTTTTCGTTACTATTATCATGTCTATTTTTTTTACTGCAATTTTGTAACGATTCTAGCGAAACTTCGTTTAAAATCGCTCGTCGCTTATGCATGAGCTCTTCTATAACTGTACCGTAACCGATAAAAAAACAGTAAAAAAGGCGGAAAGCTTTGAAACACGAAACGCGGTTCGATATGCAATTCGGAAAATGGCATTCTTTTTTTTTTTTCTTTTTTTTTTTTGTACTTTTAGGGTTCGGAGGTATTACATAGGGAAAAGGCAAAATATAACATAAATATATGACAAACGCAACACTATTTTTAAAAGAAATGCAGTAAAACCTTGAAGCATTCAAGGTTTACATGCTACCGCTTCGCGTTACAACCGATTTGAAAGCCGACGCCAGTTTTCGCAAGGGGTTCGACGGACGGCAACCCCTTTTCAGAAACTGAAACCTCGCTTTCCAAGCTTAGGTTACAAAAGGCAATCGCTTCCGAGAAAAATAAAATAAAATAAAATAAAAAGAAACATGACGCCGGTAGCAAAGTTTAGTAGGTCGTTTTGCATTGAAATGGCGATACCCGATACTCTGCCGACGCCTCTGCAACATGCATCGTACCTGCATTTTTTTTTTTTTTACAGCGACGCTGTAAAGCATGTCGGATTTCTGGAATTGTTTCGTGTCGTCGTCCTCACGAAAAAAAAGAAAAAAAAACCTTCAGCGATTAAAGCGAAACGTGCATATCACGCGTACAACATACAGCACAGCATTCGTTTCAATAAAGAACAAGCACGAAACAAGCATCCGAACCAGATAATTGATCATAAGGCGCTCCTGATAACAATGCGAAGCACGTGCGCTCACCGCATGCGTTTCGCGGTAATGATTACTGTTGCGCAAGCTGCCGCGGCGAAGGCAGTTTGCGACGCGAGGAGTGACGTCATTAGAGCCTTTCGTTAATAAAAAAAAAAAACGTTTTGGTACAGTACGTTTACTTGTCTTTCGTCAATCATTTGGCATATACCCTTTTGCTGATTACAAGCATGAACTGCCACTTGCGTCCAAAGTGAATTCCGGTCGGGCCGTCTTTGGAAGCCTCTTGAGCTTGCTTATGTCACCAATGCTAGAAAGTATAAATGCTACACGGACAACAAAGTTGGAGAATTAACGAGGGCCTCCTGCTGTACAATATTACACCGTGGAGGAGACAAGAAAGTTTCCAAGAATGCTTGAACAATTTTAACAAATCTCGCACTCCTTCGTTCTTTTGGCGTTCACCTGGAGAATTGGGTGTTAAACGTTCCATCTACGTTTCAAGCAGCGGTGCTAAGGAGGCGTTTGTTCATTCTCTTTATAAACCGAAAGTTCTCAGGGACGTCAAAGACTGGAGCACCACCTGGTGACGTTTGCCATAAAAGGGTCTATAGTGCAGTAAGCAATTGCTGCAGATGATACCAGAGGTTCATTCTAAGAAATGCCTGCGCGTCTACTTCCCCACAAAACACTCGAAGAGCCAATCTCTGCGATCTACGAAATCAACTCAGCGAATGATGACGCGGAATATCTGTTTCGACCTCAAAATGAAGTCTGCGCTGTGGCTTTACGCAATGCAAGCATGACGCTTTCCATTGCGTAATGCCACAACGCGCACTTAGTTAATTTTTAGGTCTAAACGGGTGTTCCGCCTCATCATTCGCTGTGCTGATTTCGTAGATCGCAGAGATTGGCTCTTTGAGTGTTTTGCGGGTAAGTAGGCGTGCAGGTATTTCTTCGAGTGTTCGGTGTCTAACCACCTTCAGAACGTGGATTAGAGTCCCTACATTTTTTTTATCGCTTCGCGATTTAAATCTTTAAATCTGTTTTTGGTTTGTTTGGTTCCCAATTGACTCAGTGCACAAAAGACCTGCTGGTTGTTTCTGGGCACGTGAAAATAAAGATTATTATTATTATTATTATTATTAATATAATTATTATGCCTCCTTCTTACGCCCAAACCTCAATTGATTGGAATCGCCTTCCCTCAGTCACATAGTTATAATTATTAACACCGCTTACTTTAGACTTGCAGTTACTAATTTGTTGAATGATGTTTCGTGCTTGTTTTGTATTCTCGCCTTTTTTATGTTTATGTTACAGTGCACAGCCCTCTGCAATGCCCTGCGCTGCTTCCGAGGTTGCACGATTACCCAATAAAAATGCTGAACCGGGAACTAGACAAGAAGCGAGAACCTAACAGCCACACCCCGCATTGCTTAAATTGTCAGTGACTACAATAGGAAGCATCGCCTCGCAACAGTACCGTCATTATGTTTTATTTTTATGTTTTTTTTATTTTTTCTTTTGGTCATTTGTACGGGGAAGTAGCTGATGGTGAACGCTCGGCAGAAAAAACGTGCTGTCTACTAACCTAGTCTTGTATTTATAATGACGAAACTTCTGGTATGCTGGAAAACGTTTTAACCGGGACTTTCACCCCGTTCTGTTTTGCCACTTTTATACTTTTTACTGATTCCTAAATTCAACTTTCTTTTTTTTTTTTTTTTGTTTTGGCCAGCAGATATGTGAATTACGTGACTGGAGACAAGAGTAAACGAAATAGACCTATGGACTATTTGCATGGCTGCTTTCTGCGCGCTGCCATCTTAGTTCACTGGGCTGTGGGCTGCATTGCGAGCGTGCGCAGTAGACCTTTTGTGAAACATATCACACTCCGCGCATTAGTCTAACAGCCCAGTGACCGAGAATATTTCGCCTGGAATGATGTCTCTGAAGTGCCTGTCTCGCACCGCGAGAGCGGTAGCATCTAAGTGCGAAGCTGCCTGACTCGGAACGTTCCTTGTCCTGGCTTAACTGTAAAAAAATAAAAATACATCTTTTTTTTTTTTTTTTTTTGATGCAAAGAGAGCACGCAGACTTCAAGATATGATTAGGCAAGCAGCCGACGATATGCTCAAATACAAACAGAGTGTATTGTCTGTATTTTTCGCTTAAATGATGCTCGATCAACTATACCCAACTCCACGTCTTGTTGAAGGGTGTACTGGTTGCTGCAAAGTTGTATAGCCTCCCAACACAATTTCGAGTAACGATGCGATCTCATTAGCTACTTAGCGAACATTAGGTAGTCACGCTATCTGCATCACTTCCCACCAAACAGAGTTCATGGTCAAACCTTTTCTTACAGCTCTCGTCACTCGCTGAGCCATTCTCGGTGACTGGCCTTGTCGCGTGCTATAGTGAATAGTAGACATTGGACAATTGGCTTAGAGCAGTTGACAGTTTGTCTTAACCAATCCATAGGTCAGTAGAGCAATCCAACAATCCTTCTATGTTTTCTTTTTTCTTTTTTTTATTGCAGTCATGGAACACGATGCGCTGGAGAAGTGTCAGCAAAGCGAGACAACGGAGTTTGCGGCGTGGGTGTTGCCTACGATTCCAAGGTGGCTGGTGAGTCTTCTTGCACGATAATCTTTTGTCACGCTGAAAGGATACAAGACCCATTAAGTTTATCTCTGTTGGCGTCTCGCCTTAACACCTTTCGGGAAACGTGGACAAACATTAAAGAGATCTTAAAAATACGATATTAAAGTAATTTTAATGCGTATTTTCACAGTTCAAAAGCATAGTAGTGGTAGCTGTGCTGAACAATGTAATTACTCTCCCAGCAAATGTAATATAAAGTCAATTAGCCGATCACGCTAGGGGTCCCGCCATCGATAGTGTCTTCAGAGCTTGACAGTCAAGCGCTGGGAACATGTACAAAAAACCGTCCGACGGTTCCTAGGACTCGTCAGGACGACGCAATGCCGGCCAATCGTTGCGTGCGGTCACCTGACTCCGTGATAGGCCGAAGCTCGGTCAGATTTCCCATCCTTCCGACTCGTCGCACGATCCGTCGGACGTTTTGCCGTACATGTGTCTGGAGCTTAAAATTACATATCCTACCTTTCTTCAGATCCTCGGCCAAAGTCTCATCTGTTCAGTTGGTTTCCGCTAGTCATTCTGAGTTGTACTTTACTAAAGAAATATGTCTCAAAATGTTGATAAGAATCGAGCAGCAGCCCCTTAGGAAACAATGGTGAACAAGGTTTCATCCAAACGTTTAGGAAATGGCTTATAATGCGTGGGCTGTCAAATCAATTTATGGTGTGCTGGAAGCGTTCCAAGAAATTTAACTTTGAATTTTAAGAACGGCGTATATACATAGTCTCCTCACAGACGAGATTCCTGACAGCTCCCGAAACAATGATAATAGTGGCTAGACAAAAATACACTCGTGTTACAGTTACAAGCACCGATGGTGCTTTTATTCCGCGCTACAATCTTACGTCGGCATCCGAAGACTCATTATACGTTTCGTAGTCATCTTTGAAAATTTTAAATGCAAATATTTGTTTCCAAACCATAAAAGGAAGAGTCAAAGTTTCTTTTTTTGTATGTGTGTGTGCATTTCGATATTATTACCCGGACACATATAGCGCTAATTGAGTCAATAAAGTGGCAGGAGAATCTCACGTGGCTGTGCGATCGAACATGGTGATATGTAAAGTGCTGAATTCTTGGAAGCCTTTTCGGTGCTCGGTTGTCTTAGATTGTTCTGAAACATTCCCCGTAATCAACGTAAACAAAATGGTGCAGCCGGAAACAATTTGTTGCCCACTGCCTAATGTGCAGAGGGGAAAGCGTAAAGGGCGGGAGGTCAAGTATGACATGCATCTAACTTATCGATTGGAGCAGCTCCTAACCCAGCTCACACGATTAGCTACGTGAGTTTCTTAGTAAGAGCTGAGCACGTTGGTCGCCATAAGACGTTATACCGTAAATATCAACACTTCCAGTGACACCTAATCGGTTCCTCGTGCTTTCTGGTGTTGGATACCCCGAGGGAAATTTGAGGGTGCCATTTTGTTTTACTCCATTCGAAAGTCGACAGCTACAAACAAGTTAGCGCCTAATAAATGTGCTTCACGCGTGTTAAGAGCAATAGGCCCGCATAGCTCGTGGAGAAACCAGGGGCCCTAACCTACACGGTGGGGCCAAGCGGGGGGGGGGGGGGGGACCGGGACATCGCCTCCTGCTGCGATTGGTCAGCTCCGCACCGGTGACCAAACACAGCAGGCGGAGATGAAGCGGTCCCTTGGTCCCTCAGTGTAGATTAGAACACCAGGCTTCCTTTTTTTATTTTTTTTGCTTTTAAGAAGAAACCTTGCGCAATGGTAGGATACGCCAAGTGTCCCAGGCTCATTATGTTTGCCGTTCTCATGACTGGTTCTTTGGCGATCTTATCAACTAATGCCGTGTTCTGATTGGCTGTGAAGCGATAATGAGGTGATCGCGACTTGTTTCTGAAGTTGTCACCGACCCCAGCCTCAACACGTCCTCTGACCGGCGGACCTTCTGTCTGTGTACCCGCAGGTATCCGCATGCTGGACCAGCCTTACATGACAGACCTGATCGAGGCCAACTCGATGGGTCACGAACCGAACCTGATCGACATCTACAGCGCCTCCTGGGGACCGACAGACGACGGCAAGACCGTCGACGGGCCGAGGAACGCCACCATGCGCGCCATTGTCAGGGGAGTCAACGAGGTAACATTCGCCATCTTGGCTCTTTGAGTTTTTTAAACCTTCATGCTCTCGGTAGAATTCAATATAGGTGGCTTTCACGTGACGTCATCCACCATGCTGGTGGTCACTGCTAGCTGTCGTTGCCGAGAGAAACGAATTTGGTGGTGGGGAATGTCTGCTGGCTGAGGAAGGTACGCCCTCGCCAGTAAGATCGCCGCAGTGCCGCTGATGTCAGGTCAAGGCAGGCCAGATATGCGGAGTGTTCTCTGAACATTTAAAAAGAAAATCCCTACAAGCATGGTTCAGAAAAAAAGAAACACTCTGAAACAAAGATCAAGCAACTGCCAGCCACGGCGGATGCCAGGGATTGCAAAACTTACACGAATTAGAAAAATAATGACCTAAAATTTACTAGTTACTTCTTCATTTAGTTGAAATAAACGCATCGTTCCAAAAAGGAACTCGCTGAGCTTCATTAAAAGCCCCTAAATCAGTTCATTTGAGGAAGACTTGAAACGTGAGAAGCGCGCTGGGTGCGCTGAAATTTCCCCTCGTGCCGCGGGCGGAAGGCTGTTGATGCGAAACGCGGCTGATATTTTTATCATCCACGTTGTCGCCAAAAAGTTAACCGCGAAGTAAAAAGTATGAGCACAGTAAGCTACGCTCAGCGCTTTTTAAGCCCTGTGTGACAGTTTATTTACGCTTTATAGCCGTATTTATCTGTAGTCACTTCGATTCCAGGATGGTTCCTGTCTATTAATTAACACGAATGTAATTTTGTGTGTTCCTTTCCCTCGTGGTTCACGTCAGGGCCGACACGGCCTCGGCAACATCTACGTGTGGGCGTCCGGCGACGGCGGCGAGGACGACGACTGCAACTGCGACGGCTACGCGGCGTCCATGTGGACAGTGTCCATCAACTCGGCCATCAACAACGGCGAGAACGCCCACTACGACGAGTCCTGCTCGTCCACCCTCGCGTCCACCTTCAGCAACGGGGCCAAGGACCCGCACACGGGCGTCGTGAGTTTCCTTCCCCACAAAATAGCTGTACCCGTGTCGGTATTGGTATTTCCACGGCCACTTGATCACTGCCGCTTCGCTACGGCCTGCCGCTTCACCGGGAGATGTATCGAAGCAGCTAATCTATACTCCGTTTCACTTTAAGTGTGAGCGTAGCAGAAGCTACAAGAGCAAGCTCCGGGCTTTCAGTGTCCCTGTCAAGCACGCGCCCTCGTGCAGTGAGGGCCACGTGCTCGCGTTTGTAGCAATGGCTACGACGACCAGTTCGCGTTTCCCACTTTTCCCCCGCTTCCTCCTCTCCCCCTTTCTAGCCTGCTTACCTTTGTCCGTTTCCTCCTCCCCCAGGGTGAGGAGGATCTTCTGCCTTGCAGAATCTCGTGCCTGGTGGTCGACCTTTAAGCTGAAACGAAGTATAGCTTAGATTTCTAAGTTCGTCGCTGGAGGCGCGGCCCAGCGGACAAGAGTGGAGTAACTGTGCTCCGCTTTTGAGGGCGCGGTTATAGACTCCTTTAAGAATTATGCCCTCTTATGGTCTATCGGAAAATACTGCACAGTGGCGTGCGTAAAAGACACCATAAAATGGCAAGTCTGTCAACTGTAATTGGAAGTGAGTACTATAAATCAGTTAAATGGCGTACCGAGCGTTTGCTTACGTTTACTTACGTTACAAGTCACCGGTACATTCGTGTCTTGAATGTTGCGTACAAGGCTACTCTTTGAACTGTTTCCCACGCTCTACACAAAGCGCGGATGTTCCGGTGACTCTCGACATAAGCTCCCGTAACATAACGTAGCGTAAGCAAACGGCGCTGTGTGAACCGGCCTTAAAGGCTGGTTCACACAGCCCCGTTTTCTAACGTTACGTTACGTTGGGAAAGCTTACGTACAAGTCACCGGGGCATATGTGCTTCATATGAAACGTGGCTACCAGATCAAGGAGATAGCCTGGCAGACGACATTCGAGGCACGAATGTTCCGTTGACCTATACGTAACGTAACAAAACGCAAGAAAACGGTGCTGTGTCAACCAGCCTTTTGTAAATGCACCAGAAACAAGCAATGCTTTTGCATGACTCTGACTACGCGTTGCTCTCGTTCGTTCGCCGGCTAGAGCCGGCAAACGAGCGAGAGTCCGGTAGTTCTAGCTGCTACTGCGTCTAGTGCTACCAGACTCAATACCACTCACTGCGGCCGCTCAGAAAGCTTCCGCTTCCCATGGCAAGAAAGAGCCACTCGACAGGCCGTTCACAGTGGAGCGGGAACCATAATTCATCGGCCCTGGTATTTTAACAATAATCAGTGAGGGACAAAGGAAATTTTTGTAAGTAATTGTTTATTTTTAAGTGTTTTATTTGGGTGGTCTTAAGCTCACACACCCAAAACATACAAAAAAAAAGCCCCTTTTTCGTATTTGACTTTGGACAACTCTTTGCTCATCGATGTACCGTTCAGCTCCTCCCGTTGTTGCACCTTTTCAAGAATCAAGGAAAACGTTTGGAATAGGAACACTTTGGCGACTCTGTCTCAACTTGGCGTGTTTTTACACACAAATTGAAAGTGTGTGGTTTTAAGTGATTGAAATTATGTTCGGTGCTGAGGTCCCACTCGCACGGCTCGCACTGTGCACCACAATAGGCAGAATCAAAATATGAAAATTAACTCTAGCTATTTTTTGCGCACGAAATATTTCAGGGCGGATTTCTCGAGTGTTCTCTTTACCCGGTTTTTGCCGTGCACAGGCCACGACGGACCTGTACGGAAAGTGCACCAAGACCCACTCCGGAACGTCGGCCGCCGCCCCTGAGGCCGCGGGTGTCTTCGCCCTCGCCCTCGAGGCCAAGTAAGACGCTTTCCTCAAGGGGCTTCCTTCTAGGGAAGTTTGCAAGTCGGGAATGACTCCGCCGTTCAATCTTCTTAACTCTCAATATCTTCCCGCATAGTTCACGTGCATGCAAACGATACACTGCATACAGATTGATTCCCTGATTATAAACACGCTGGCATGCTTACGGGCGCTATGGGAACTGGGCATGGGAGAAATTAATCTGAAAATGCTCTGTTCTACAATCAGCGCTACTTCCTTGGCGTTACATCAGAAACAGATGTTCATGAAGGGAGCCAAGGTTTTTAATCTGTTTACATTTTTACTGTGTTTTAAAAATAAAATAACTTCAAAAATCTATGATTTTTTAATATAATTTTGTCGGCTTGACTTTGTGTAGTCACTAAATTGTTATGTATCTTACAAACCCTAGGTTAGCAGTCGGGCTTCACTGGGCAAATTGCCCATTTAAAACAAAGGCGTTTTTTTTGTGCAGATTAGTTTTTAGTTATTTTATATATAACGAATTCCACTCTGACCTTGTCCTTTGACTATACATGACACTGTGTCAACACATCGAGCATTGCTTTCCATAAATGACAGATAAGCATTGGTGTGCAACACAAGGGGTCCGAAAAAAAAAAGGGGGGGGGGGGGGGCGCCTTTTTACAGTTTACGCAGTAAGGTTACTGTCGGGTATCAAAGTGTCCCCGCCTAATATGGCGTCACACGTAGCATAAGTAGGCTCTACTATGGTGTGCTACGAGTTGGACAGCAAAAACCTTCAAGAGTGCCTCTGCCGATCAAAACAAAGCTCCAAGGTGCATTCAACAATAATCGCAGTTTTTTTTTTTTTTTTTATGCCAATTTTAAGACAATGACGATGACGGACACGCCCCTCTCTCCGTAACGTTAGGAAAAACAAAATGGTGCGTTTGTACTGAGTCGAGTAATAGAGGGTTTTAGAATAGGGGGCCCCAACGCTTTGAGTTCCTCGAGCAGCTTTGGGCGTCGCACAGACCATGCGCAGTGCAATGCCCCAAGCTGTTTGTGGCAACGTTCTCAGACCCATCAGTTGACAAGCTCCACGGAAGCGCGGCGTTCGAAAACGGTTCTCCTCTTTTGCCCGCACCCGAGCAGGTACGGGGGGGGGGGGGGGGGGGGGGGGGGGGGGGGCAATAGCGTTTCCAGCGCCACCAGGGGCAACACCTTCGCGGGTGACGGGGACGGACAGCTTTCAAACGACGTTGACTTTCGCGCATACTTTATACCTAGAAGCCCCAAAAGAATCACTTTCCACTGCAGGCAATGTGCACCCACAACGTTCCATCGGTTCCGGCGCTTCTGTCCAGAGGCGGGCTGATAGAGTATGGCGAGTGCAACAGAGTGGACGCGCCACGAAAATGTGTCGGACGTTATAGGAAGCTTGTCAGCTGACTTTGATACACTATATAAACGTTGGTTTGAGGGACGCAAACCTTTGGGGGTCTTTGATAGCCACGAGCGATCGTTCGATGGCTGCATTCCTTCACGTGAGGGGAAGGAAGGGCCCGCCGTGCTCGCACGCAGCTCATACCAATACTTCTCGAACATGGAACAACCTTACAGCTGCAAGAGGAAAAAAAAACACACGGCATTCGTGCTATGTGTTACGTGCTTGCGCTGTCTCTTGTGCGACCAACGATCATAGCCGGTCAGCTTGCCACAATCCACGGTGTAAGATGCACTCTTTAGGTGAAGACAGGACGGGGCTGAATGCGCGGCGCGAGGAATCAGATAGCGTTCGTTCGACGGGCATCCGAAAGGCTGCATTATTCCGCGGCCACCGTGCCCGCGGCTGACAGTGTCGCCGGCGGTCAAACGGCGAAACTGTGTGAGAGCGGAAAACATTATCTCGTTGCACTCTTAAAAAAAAGGTTCCTGTTGTCACACCTTTTAGGGTGCAACTTGCTTGTCCCTGGAGTTCGTCTCAAAAGGTAGCAAAGTTACCCCTACCGCTTGGGAGCAACTTTTACACCCTATGTCAGGGTGCACATCTGCTTTCTTGGGGAGACAACCTTATCACTAATAGGGAGGAATAGCCTTTATTTTTAAGGGTTTAATTTTACTCCTATTAAGAGGTAATAGGGCATACTTTTGAATTGAAGATTTCACCCTTTTTTCGAGTGACATCAGATGCTTTAAGGGTGTACCTTCCCCTCGTCTAGGGGGCAATAACATTGCCGCCATGTATCCTGCAGCGACCACTCAGCGAACTTCAAGGCTGCACGTTTTCGTTCAAAGGGCCGGTGGCGCCTTCTCGTAGTAGCCAGAGTATCGAATACGATAGCATTTCTTGCTGCTGTTCAAATTTTCTCTTTGATCGGCCCTCTCGGCGCCGAAACGTATACAGTAGAAGGGGGATCAGGGCTGTCAGCACCCGTCTCCCAAGCGGGCGAGCCGCGATTATTCACCAAAGTCAGGACGCACCCAGGTCAGGACGCTCTACCTGAAAATCACAGGTCAGACATGGCTGTATAAAAACAATAATAAATCTGCCGCGAAACCCTGTAAACTAAAATTGTATGCAAACATCACGCTCCTGTCATATTGTGCTAATCTCCAATAAAATTTTATATAAAAAGAGCTTTTTCCGTAAGTTTTTACGCAAAAGCACGATTTCTAAAAGCGAGAAGTACCAGCATTTCAAATTGAGGGGGGGGGGGGGGGGCGGTAGTATCTGTCTTTTCGAAGAGGTAACAAGCAAGGCACTTCCTTCTTCACCAGATTGAAGGTGTAAAAGTTTGTTATTCCACCCTTTCCGTAACCTTTTGGCAACCCTTCTTTTAAGAATGGTAGTTGGCGCTAGTGCCTGTCTCCCTCGAGAAGGTAATAAGCAAGGCACTTCCTTCCTTACCCAGATGAGGGTGTAAAAGTTGCTTGTTCTACCCTTCTGGGACCTTTTTTTTTTAAGAGTTGACACCCCGGTGCAGCGTGGTCTTTCTGCACGTGCGACAACCTCGCTGGAGCTCTGCGCGTGCGGAGCGTGAGGCGGCTCGAGCCGTCTTGTGCACACTGCTGCGTGCCTCCTGCGTCTTACACCGTGCCCACAAAGCCCCTTCATGTTTCAAAAGTAGCGCAATGTTTGTCGATGCACGAGGCACGTGCAACGTGCAGCCCTTGGGAAGATCATGGCGGCACGGCAAAGCACTGAGCTAGATTTCAGACGCTATGTTTTTCCTAGAAGTGGCTGGAGGCACGTGCCTCGAGCATTTCTACAACAATGAATGGCGCCACTTTTCCCAGTATAGAGGGGCTTCGTGTGCCCACGGATTTTTATTGGCACGTCGCGAGAAGCGCGCTGTTCTCACCTGAAGAGTATTATCTTACACCGTGCCACAATCAGACAGGGAACCTCTCAATATCGATTACGCTCTTTTCTGCGATTGTATTCCCCGGATCCCTTGTCTCGATCCTTTCCTCTTCACCGTACTCCCCGACCAATCTTATCGTACGTCGCTCCTAGGAGCGAGCGCATACCGAATTCCTCCCGCAAAAGATTTGATCGAGCGACATGCCGCGGGCTAATGCGCGGCTGCCTCCTGTTTTATTTCGGGCAGCAATTAGACTAATGCTACTCCCATTGAGCTCGCCAGTTTCGCTCGTGTTGTGCCGGATGGAATAGCAAATCCCCTATGCGCATAGCAACGGTCGCAAACCTTAACGTTAACGACCGCAGGTTGCTTGCACGGGTATCAAATCAGCTGCCGTTGTGGTGGTCTTGCTGCTGCAGCACGCACAGAATGCGGCAATATGAGCCATACTTTGTTTCCCCTGAAGTCCAGAACACGGTGTGGTCCAGACGCAACCGACGCTACGAGCTGATGGGTGTAATCAGACAGAGCCAAAAGCGTGCCATCGTGGTGTTCGTCGTGTTTCCGTACATGTTCTATCATCACTAAACCACTCATAAACAACAAATGCCTAATGACTTGCACTTCTAGCGCCGGCTTCATTGATCCGTTAGCTCGTAGCGTCGGCTGCATCTGGACTAAAGCTGAAACAAAGTATAGCCCAGCGGTGTTCAAGCCGGAGTGGCACAAAAGCCTTGCAGCAAACCCCAAGTGCGTCAAGTTCTTAAAAAAAAAAAAAAAAAAAAAAGGTTGGAATAGACTCCTTTCAAAAGTGAACGCCATCTAGTTGCCGCTGTTCCAAGAATCCGACTCCGCCATGTATGAGGAGAGCAAGTCGTCTGCTTCTTGCGCAGGAGTTTCGGTGACGTCAGAACGACGCCGAGCTCTGATTGGCTCTGATAGAGGAATAGGGGGTAGACCTCAAGGTTAGATGCCTTCAGGTCTGCCCACTATTGTTTTCAATGAGCCAGTGAGAACTCGGCGTCCTGACGTCATCACAACCGCTCTGCAAAAAGCAGACGAACTTGCGCTCCGCGTTGGACACGAGGGCTGCGTAAGAGTTCGGTGTGAACTCGGCTCAGTTCATGTAAAAAAAGACGAGCGACGCTTCGGCGTTCGGAGAGGACTCGGAACCAATGACAAGCTACGTTCCAAAGAAATGGCGACCATTTGGCAACGTTGGCCATTCCAAAGAAATGGCCAATGTTGCTTGACGGGGTTTTGAAAAAGAATCTATTGATTTGCCAAATGTCCCATTGTCGCAATGTGGCAGTCGGTCTTATAGCTCAGCATAACTGAGGCACCCGCCTTTTATCCCTTTTCGGCTTGCGCCAAACTGGGCCAACTCAAATTCCCGCTGACTGTATCCTTTTTGAGCGTAGCTTTTGTAGCATTGAATTTGTTTTTCTCAGCAAGAACAAGTAGGAATGGCCACCAGCAAGGTTCGATGGCGTCATGGGGAAGCCTTGCATATTGGTGTGGATGTGAAGCGTTCCTGTTCTTATCGCGGCTTGGCGGTATCTCTCTTTATCGCGTGCTTTCACTCTCCTATCTGTTGGCGATGATATACTCCGCCTCATCTTTTATTTGTTTATATATTCTTTGTGCATCCGGTAGGAGGTAGAGGCAAAAGGCCACGAAGCCTGACGAGTCCTCTGCCCCTGTCAGGTTTTCGCCTTTGCCTCTCTTCCCAGTCTGACACCCGAAAAGAATTAAGTATATAACAAGTACAAGGTGAGACAAGGTGTGTGATCGCCAACAGGCACGAAAACACGTATAGACTATAATCACAAAGGCTACAAGCGCGAGTTCCTTACATTTTATCGTTCCTTGGCTGCACATGTATGGGTGTACCAGACAAAACTAGATATAAATCTACACGCTACCACTTGCGGAACTTACGGTTAGCCCATGTTAATATAAAATGAAGATTAGTGGCAATTTCGATAAGTTAGAACGTAATTTAAACTTTTCATGCTTGAGAGATTGGGCTTAACAGGTCGTCGGAGATGAGAGTCTCACCTGGGTCAAACGTGTTCGGTTTTAATACAGAGTTTGTTTTAACAGCCGCCTTCTCTCAATACATTCATCCATAATGTTCCGGCGTTCAATAGAGTTTCGAGCCACACATAAAGTATACCTATTCTAACCCGTAGAGACAAAAAAAAAAAAAAAAACGGGAATCGAACGTGCGACCAAGTGATCGGTTGCCGGGCGTTCAAACACTGCGGAAAGAACAGCTGCATGAGGAACTGAGCTGCACTCCACGGTGTGTGTTTTGCGTTCAACACATTCTGTGCTCCCCGGTTTTTGTCAACGTGGTCAAGCTTGCATTTCTTTTTTTTCTTTACGATCATCAGCTTAGCCTGTACCTTGTCAAGTGTGCGACGCCAGTGCTCACTGCGCGCTTATTGCAGCCCGACGCTGACTTGGAGGGACATCCAGCACCTGACCGTGCTCACCTCAAAGAGGAACTCGCTATACGATAGCAAGAACCGCTTCCACTGGAAGATGAACGGAGTGGGTCTCGAGTTCAACCACCTGTTCGGCTACGGGGTCCTCGACGCTGGGGCCATGGTGGCCCTGGCCAAGATCTGGAAGACGGTGCCGCCCAGGTACCACTGCGAGGCCGGATCTTACCTTAAGACCAGGTGAGTCTCGCCATTTGCTTCCTACTCCGTTCGTTAAAATAGTCTAACTTTCAAATATCCTAATTTGCGAATACCCGCATTTTCGAATACCCTTCTAAATGGTATTCGAGAGCCTGCTTCGTGAAGACGTACGTCGGTTTTGCCCTATATTCCGTTCACTTCGAAGGTGACAGTGCTATAGAAGCTTCGTGCTCGCTCGACAAGTCGTACGTCTACCCTTGGCCGCGTGATCACGTCCTCGCTTCCACAACCAGGCGCAGAGAGGGGGTTCAGATGACGAAAGGGAGGGCGTTAATTGGTCCGACGAGCCAGTAGCTCCCATTTGAATGAGGCATAGCAACCCTACACCTTCCGCCTACGTCTATTCCGAAAGTGTTGCGGCACCGCCACATCCCCGCATCAAGGCAGTTGGAGAGTTATACAAAGTGTTAGAGAGGAACTTGCTCCTATTCGACCATCTGATTGCAAATCAGCTCATTGTTTCTTTTTCTAATAGATATTTTTAGCGCTCCTTTGCCGTAACACCGTTATTGATACTTCCATGTAGAAACAAGGTCAGAGTCGTACTGCGAAAAAAGAAAAGCGCTTTAGCCAACCGTCGTCTCCCCCCCCCCCCCCCCTCCCCATACTGGGCTGCTGGGGGAAAAAATAACATCATGTAAGGGGACGGTGAGTTAAAACGTGTTCGCTGCGGTAAGTTCGAAACCTGGCTTTGATATGGCGGTAAAAGTAACTGTGTAACGATAACGCTATACTAATACTCAGGGCTTAAAGTCTGGGGGGTCTCAGGGGGTCTCGGACCCCCTAATGATTTTAACGGATGGTCTGAGACCCCCCTCCACAGCCCCAGCATTAGTGAAATCAAAATCCTATCTTGCGATAAACTAGCTTGTTCTCAGGGATGTGACATTTAGGGATTAGCAATTTGAGGGTTGCAGGTACAGCATGGGCAGAGTCAGCAATGGGGTTTGTTTTATGTGCATCTAATACATCTCGTCAACCCCCCCCCCCCCCCTTCTTGCAGGGACCCCCCTCAACTTATGGGAGGCTTTAAGCACTGCTAATACTTCCTAAATAAACGTTTTAAAGGACCTCTACAATGATGCTGTTATCGCTACCGAAGCTCCCGGGCGCTAACCGCACATGGGCTTGCTACACAACGCATGCGCAATTGGCGCCTAATATTCTTTAAAAAAAACACAACTTTCTGACACGGCGTGGTACCGTCTTTACTAGATTACAGTACCATTACCACCATGTCGGAACCGGGCAAAGATTTTACCACCACAAATGAGACGTGTTTAACAACCATCATCTTACATCGTGTGCAACGCTGTCCTTATCTCTCTTTCGATTTTCCCGCGGCGCGGTATAACGTACGGAGGGTTAGAACGTTATTATCGCACTGCGTTTCTGAGCTCGGTTCCTACATGACTCTAACGCTAAAGCCACGGTCACACTGCTAATGCATCATACAAAAGACAGTCTGCAGAGAATTTGCTTCGGGGGTGTTTCTTCCTCGCATGAGGGCCCCGTCGCATCTGTCGTACAAAAACTGTCTGCCGACATCATGTCTGCAGCGTATGCCATGCCTTTTGTATGATGTACCAAGAGTGCGACTGCTGCTTTATGCCTACTCCGATGTCCTGGATCGTTGAAGACCTCTGCTGCACGCTTTTTTTTTATTCCAGCGAGTTCCGAACCAATAACAGCCTGAAGATTTTCATTGACACGGACTCGTGCGCTGGCACTGTGACCGAAGTGAACTACGTGGAGCACGTGCAAGCCGTCATCACGCTGAACGCCACCAGGAGGGGCGACGTCAAGCTCTTCATGGTGTCTCCGTCTGGCACAAGGTGAGTGGTCAATGGCAGAACACACCCTTTGGATGTCTCCATGCCGCTGCCCGGGTGACTTGTAAAAGGACTACAGAGTCAAATTTCTGTTGTTTAGCGAAGCTCGTTGGGTGTCACCCACACTTCGCGCGGCGCGAGTGGCATGAAATAGCAGACAGACGGACTTGTACGTAACGCTTTACAAGTAATGCGTTACTTGTACTGTCGAGACCGGTTATCACGAAGTCAACGGGAGTTGGAAATCACTTCGCTATATGCAGTATTTCGCTATAACCGACTTCGGTTAACGAAGTGCAAAAGGGAATGGGAAATCGTGATCGCTTCGCTGTAGCCGTTATTTTGTTATAACCGAACTCGTTATAACCGGTCTACTTAGTTACCTTTTTATGTAGCTAAGTAACCACACAGTTACTCTTTAAGAGAAGGAACGAGTAACGTATGTTTGTTCATTTTTTAATGAGGTAACGATCGATAGTATTTAGTAACTTGGGGGAACGTCTAAGGTACTAGTACCCAAGCCATCACCCCAGCTCGCGCCTGTAATGTGCTCGAGGAGAAAACACCCAATAGACATAACAATAAGTGCGCGAGGCATGTCAATATAGCCAAAGTTACCCCTAAATGAACGCGTTAAAAAGGAAAAAAATATATATGAACGATGACAAATATTGGAAGCGGCTACTGCTTTACAAAACGACGCATTCAGAGTGACGAAAAAATGACGCGTTACTTTCAAGCTGATGCAACGAGTTCCTTTTGAAGCAATGAGTAACCTACCTATAGCCAATGACAAGGTAGGAGAAAAGGAAGCTCCTCTCACCCCTTTTCACTTTATCGGAGCGAACGCTGGAGAGGCGGTCGCCTCCTCTCCAGTGTTGGCTCCGATAAAGTGGAAAAGGGTGGGAGAATCGTACACTTTATTCTTACCCTGTCACCAACTGTAGTGAATTTTTGAGTGAGTAACCAGTAGCGGTATCCAGTTACCTAATTCCAGTAACGTTTACATGTCTGGAGACAGGATGTTTGACTGCGTCGTTCTCCTACTCAGTCAGTCAAGGTTGCTGTGAACTGTCGAGCCTCACAGCATTAATAACGGCTGTGTCAAGCAGAGATCTACAACAGTCAGTAAGAGAAGGCTTCCCGCAGACCTTAAACAGATTTTTTTTTTAAAGTTAAAGTAGCAGAAGCTCGAATATTTGTGCACCAATAGAAGTGATAGAAGCAACGCCTTGTTATCGCGACCTCGTGAACCGAGCTACACGTTCAGTTTGTGGGCTTTGTTAGAAATGGAGAAGCACGCGTTTTATGTCATCATTACAAAGATATTCTTCAGTCTTTAACCTTCAACATCTCGCATGCGCTCTCACATTTTGTTTATCAACTAAATACAGACGTATCGTGTGTAAAGCCTCAGACAAAAGGCTAGTACACGATATACAAGAACAGTCTGAAGTCACTGTCTGATACAGGGTGTTTTTTTTTTAGCTGCACAAAATAAAAAAAAAAAGGATAGTGACATAGAGTTACTTAAGCCCTGGGGGAGTGTTAATGGCCATGGCGGCCTCTATAAAAAAGGTGAAATTAGGTAATTAGTTGGCTAATTAACTAAAATGTTTTAACTAATTTCTTATTTTTTTTACTTGAGTGCACATAATGGTATTTAGAGAATTGGAGCTCGACCTCAATGTAATCTAGCCCTGCCATCAAAGTTTGGTTAAAAAATTTGTAGTAGGTGTTACGAGGTTAAAAAATGTCACTTTGGTGCACAGCGTCAAACCGAAACTAAACGAGAAAGAGCGCCGGTAAAGTAATCGCTCCGCCCTTCCGGCCCCCGTTGATCGTCGTTATCGCAGCCAGCTTCGCCTAAGCAAATGGAGCCGGCCGCGATAATAACAAATCGCATGCCTGATAGGGCGGAGCGAAAACTTTACCGGCGCTCTTCCTTGCTTAGTTTCGGTTTGTCGCTGTGTACCAAACTCAAATTTCTTGACCCCGTAACACCTACTACAAATTGTTTTAATCAAACTTTGATGACAGGGCTAGACCATATTGAGGTCGAGCTTCAATTCTCTAAATACATTATGTGCCCTCAAGTGAAAACTTAAGAAGTTAGTTAAGACATTTAAGTTCATTAGCTAACTAATTACCTAATTTTACCTTCTTTCTAGTGGCCGCCATGGCCATTAACACTTCCCCAGCGCTTAAATTACTCTATCTCACGTTCCCTTTTTTTTTTTTTTTTTTTTTTTGAAAATTTGCTGCAGCTAGAAAAAACATCCTGTATATACAGGGTGTCACAAAAAAAAATTACACGGTCTTTTTTACCGCAAAAATAAACTAGGCATTGCCGCACGCTCATTCTCCTCCCAAAGGTAAAGCTAGAGGTCACAACCAGATGCCAAAGTTTCAGCCCGATCCGATACCTTAATCAAAAGTTATAAGGGATTTTCTGAAAATTTCAATGGGAAAATGGCGGCCGACAGAGTATTCAAACACATGGGGCTCTATGGCACCACAAACCGAAAACGGGCAAAAATGGGCTCCATTTTCCCATTCAAATTTTCAGAAAATCACTTATAACTTCTGATTAACTCATCGGATCGGGCTGAAACTCCGGCATCTGGTTGTGACCTCCGGCTCTACCTTTGGGCGGAGAATGAGCGTTCGGCGATGCCTAGTTTATTTTTGCGGTAAAAAAGAACATGTAAATTTTCTTTTCTGACACCCTGTATATGAAGCAAACATGCCTTGAACATGCTTGAGGCGTCGTCCACAGATAATTCTGGCACACACGTTTGCAACGGATACCGCGTCTTTTATATGATGTATGATTAGTGCAATTCTGGCTTTAAGAGACTCGGCAGGATCACAGTTTTCACGCTTGTCACGGTGAAGTGGCAGGCCGTAGCGAAACGGTAGTGATCAAGCGGACGTCGTAAAGCTCTCGAAGGGAAAGTGAAGCAAAAAGCTTTTTCTTTCCTTGTACGGCTACCCAGGTCGATGATTCTGAGCCGGCGTCCCAACGACGACGACCGCCACGACGGCTTCACCAAGTGGCCCTTCATGACCACCCACACCTGGGGCGAGAACCCCAGGGGCCGCTGGAGCCTCGAGGCCCGGATCGAGGGCGCGGACCCTTCCAAGAGCGACCCCAAGGCACGGGGCTTCCTCCGGGAGTGGACCCTCATGGTCCACGGCACCAGGGACCCGCCGTACGTCGACCTTCCGGCCCACGACAGCAACTCCAAGCTGGCCATCGTCAAGAAGGCCCACGAGACAACACAACGCGGCGGCAAAGCGCCCAGGCCGTAGAGGGTCGGCGGTCCTCGGGGCTGTATAGTGTGCCTGGAACGGGCCTCCGACTATGGTGCGTTTACCGCGTCAGAAAAAGCGGTCCCTTGATTTGCGCCCGTTGACGTCGTAGAAGTTTCACGCTGTCGCCGTCCTTCGGCTGCAAGGAGTTGGGATGCCGCGACGACAGCGACACTCGCGTTGTCTCGTGTGCTTTTGTCCAGAACTTGTACGCCCAACCGTCATGATTGGGACACCCGACAGCATAACACTACGACTTTTGTGACGTCATTTGTTGCCACTTCGGAGCCATTTTCGATGCATTGACGAATAGGACGCTAAACACGCCAGTCGGAGACGCGCTCAAGGCTCCTTACCGGTATCGCCGCCTCCTGACGTCATCTGGTGGGGTGTCGACATATGTAGATGGGTGAAGTTACGGCGCCGTCATTGCGGGAGAGCAACGAATGCAGGTAGAGAGATGCAAAAAAAAAACGCACTTATTTGTTGTGCTGTCCTGACAAAAAGAGAAGGAAAAGGGGTGGGTGAAGAAAATTAAGCTTTACCAAAAAGACTGCCTATGCTTTTAGGTCCATATGGACCTTAAAATTTCTGCCGACGTTTTTAAACACTTTTTTTTCTTTAAGCAGGGGAAAGTTGTTTTTGGCTAGATGTAAGTACAGAGGCTAAACCAATTCGCTGGGGGAAATTAATATTTTTGGTATGAACAGTTGCTGCACCAAAAATGTGGTACAGTAAGCAATCGTTTAGTAGGTTTCGCCAAACAAAAGATTACTCCATATTGCCTTCAAATTTTTCCGATATAAAAAAAAAATTGTTTTCCATATTAAACCTATTTTGTAATCAGGCCGATGTATGTGCGAAAGGTTGCCAGGCGTTGATGTCGTTTTACAGCGCACTTTATCGTGCGTCTGATGTGCTTCGGATGGCAGCGACCTATCTTCCTCTATTCTTGATGTGTACCAGATGACGTCATCGAGGCCGGTGGTTCGGTACTTGTAGCACTTTTGGCGAAGTCAGGGAGTCACGCTTCCATTGTTTGTGGGGGCGCGCTAGCTGTGAAGAGAGGAGTGACTGATGTGTGTGAAGAAGTGGCTGTTGACACGCGATTCTTCTGGGGAGAGTGTTTGTTAGTACTCAATAGTAGACAAGGTATAGCTTTCGATCACACTTCCTCCGATAAGCAGTGAAAACAAAATTACAAGGAATGTAAAAACGGAAAAGGTCGAGATTTGATGATCACAACGAAGGGCCATGATCAAAGCTATGGGTGTGTTCCAGTGTAACAAAATTATAAAAAAAAAATTTGAAAAAAAATGATTGTGATAAGAAGATTGTTACTTCCTGTAGCCTGCGCTGTAGGCTTTCAGTTAGCAGATGGTCGGATTGTTAAAATTGGTTGAATAACAAATTCGCATGCGTTCGAATAAGCAGGATTCATATATATCCACAAGTATGACTCCTACAATGTACGAAGCAGGCAGTTTACAGCCAAAATGTCCGTTTGCTTTAATTCGACTGAATCCAGGAGGGTAGCGCTATGACTTCTATCCTGCCGTGTTTGTTGCTCTTATGTAAACAAAACAAAAAAGAAAAAACATGAAAAACAAGTTGCAAAGGATCAAAGACGACAGAGTTTCGATGAGCTTGTGAATGTATGGGGGTTCGAGCAATGTGCCCAAATGGAGGTGTGTGGAATCCAAAAGTTAATGCGTGACTCCCTTATTTCTGGATCGTGCAGTGTCAGTTTAAATGCCACTTTAAGTGCCAGTTGATGCTCGAGTTTCACAACCTAAATGCGAAGTCCTTGGGTTAATTGGCGGTTGCAACAAAAAGATTCCAACACCGGGCTTATGAATTTTTTTTTTTTTGTCTACGTTTTAAATTTAGCTGGATTGCATGAAACCCTACATTAAATATATCAGTTATCTAGAATTGAAAAGTGTCGACAGTATACGGCCGATAAGTGTCATTACCCGTGATGAAGCCTGATATCACATTGACTATCATCACAAATTAATAACGATAGTCCCAATGTTCACCATCGTCATCATGATTGTGGTAAAAATGTCTACCATTGATCTCTAAGTTGCATTGCTGATGGTGCGATAGGTGCTTGGCAAAAATATGTTTCAACTATATGCAAAGAAGTGAATCTTTCACCGCATAAAGGTTGCATCCAAGTTTTCTTTTGACTATCAAATTATATTCATGGTGCTTTATACCACAACGCCTGTGTTCAGAAAAATAAAACACGTGCCAGAAAAACCCAAGGGCTTCGCAGGACTGAAAAGAAAACGAGTCAGAAAATATTAATTTTGGTTTCGGTTTTGCCTCTGTTGGTTCAATAGTTGCTTCTCCTCAAACATTGAAAATATTCAAATCGACCATTACAATGAATAACTTTTTTCCGGTGAGCTTTTGTCCGGGATTATATTACAGTTCGGTTATGGCTGACCAAGATGCTTCCTTCGTCACGTCGTTCGATTCAAGGCTACATATACTGGACTTGCAAGCGATAGAGAAAAGAGGCGTCCATCGAAAGCTGCACAGACCTCAAGATACCGTACCGCACCAGCAACTAAACTTCCGTCTCTTGTTTCTCGATTTTATCGCGTCACGTAGTCGGTGACTGAAGAACAACCCTGGCCATAAACCGTAAACGAAGAAACAAGAATGGTTCCTATAGACAGTTTTTATTCAGCTGTCGAGCCCTCTTCGAATCTAAGCATTCAAACTGATGTTTTATAGTATATAGTATATACGGCTTTCCGGCCTAATCAAGTTGGTTTACCGTTGCAGCTAAGCATGAAACGACTCATCTAAACAAGAAAAAAAATTAATTGTGAGTTTAGGGATTTTGGGAGATGGACTAACTACATCTACGGTACACAAAAAGTCAACGAGGTATACACAAAATTACAGTACATGAGTACTTCTAATTTTTTCTAAATTTGCCTTTTGGAAATGAGACAGGGATCTGTCTCTAAATTATTTTTGAACAACAAAAACGAAACAAAAGTTTAACCCAATCAGTTCTCTACAGTTTCCCGAACAAAATGTAGCAGCATGTTAACCTGTGATGATGGTGCCGCGAGCTTGATGGAGACATGATACTGATGTAAGGGATCCGAAAAAAAATTTCTAATATCAAAGCAACGCTTCTATTGAAGTATGACAGTGAGTCGATTGAGGCTGTCTATAGTTGCGACCTTGCGCTGTTTCTGTTTGTTTCAAAATAAAAAAAAAGACACAAAAAGTGCCAGTTGGCATACCGATGGTTTCCGGGGCCCCATATCCAGTCCATAACTACCCTACACGCATTCGCAAAGAGAATCCAACGTCTATCACGAATTGTTCTCATTTCTACGGATATCTTGACTTGCTGTATTGAGCCCCGTTCACTCTTGAGCTTTGGCCTATATTATAAAATCAACAAATACTTTCTGCTATGAAAAAAAAACAAAAAAACCTGCTTTGCCTTAACTTTTTGAGTATTTTAGTGGAACTTCTCAGCAGTCACGGTACAATTGCATTAGTTGGGGAGAATGGACTTTCTAGAAGGTCATGACACGGAAGGGGAGAAGCGATTGATTCCTCAGGGGAACAGATAAAATGGTCAAGAATAAGCTATTGAGATCTAAGCCTACACAGTTTTAAACAAATGGCATGTCCGTTTTGACTTTTTCTTAAAGTAAAAAGACGTAAAACTTTTAGTGCGACTTTCAGCTGGACGCCATCTTGAATAGATATTTTAAGATTGCTGAGAACAGATCGTGTGGGCCGTCTAGGGACCTCCAAAACATATCTTGAAAGTTAAATAACATACATTTTAAACAACGGGCTGCACTCCTCTAGCCTCCCCCCCCCCCCCCCTTCCACCAAAAACAACAACATATGAACGTACATGTTTTATTTGAATTTCTATAGGTTGGCAGCGTAGCCAGAAATAAACCTTAGCAGTCCCAATGACACTTCCCCCTGTATGCTAAACGTGAGTGAGAACCGATGTATGTTTTTTTGGGGACTGCTTTCACGGTTCACTGAGACGCTTTTGTAAAATTCTTGTTGACCAAGACCCTTTGGCAGTGTTTCTCTTTATATTCTTACGTAGGTCAACCTTGGGCTCACCTAACATCTACCGAAAAAAAGCGATCTTGTTAGAGTCAAGTCTCAAAAATCATGCCACAAAAAAAAGCATATAAATGTGAAAACTGCGCCATGAAATTCTCTTAATTACTACCGTGGAAAGTAGACAAATTGTTTTGACGAACCCTTCTAGCTTAATTTCGGAGCTATTTTGCTTTGGTTTCTCGTGGTATTTAAGAGAGCAAACTGTCAAACTATCTTTTCGCCAGTGTTCCTGTTTATGTTCATATTTCTATCTCCAAATTATAAACAACTTTTTTTTTGTGGACATGGCATTGTCATAGAGAAATTTCATTCGATCACACTCCTTCATTCATTAAGAACTGGCATGTGGTCTTCTCGGGTTATGAAAACATTAATATTTTTCAACCAACACATTTTCTTTTGAAATTCGGTTCTCTTAATCGAATAGGTTGCTTGTCTTTCCAGACAACTGGCAAATCTTTGTCTAGGATCTCTAACAAAGAATCGTGATGCCCTGTTTACACTGTCAGCCTCAAAGCGCTTGACCGCCCCCTTAACTGGTAATCGACCCCTTTCAGCAAACTCTACACCGGTCATGTGCAGGGTTCATATACTCCGCGTCGCTTCCCAAGAAATAAGTTTTAAAATTCCATTATCTCACGATTGCTGGAATGTAAACATACATCATCCGCAATCATATATAATATATATCTACTCAAGACTACGTATAGACGGAAGGCTGTGATGCGCTTGCGATATGCTGTTTGCAGACCATTCCTTCAGTAGACTGCATGGTTACACAGTGCAGCCCGAAAACATGTCATGCCTACTATATTGTCTTTATCGAGACCGAGAGAAATATTCGTGCTAACTCGACGGCACTAATATGCGTGCCCCCCAGTGATAAGCTGAGCCTTGGATGCATTGCCAGGCCCAATCTGATTTGTTTTGAGCAAGTTTACCCTCAACGAAAATTATTATATTTTAATCGCGTTAATTTTGCCTTTTTACGAATCCATAAAGTACAGTTCAAATACTGCAGATATATTTTCATCGTATAACAGAGAAATGGAATATACTTTGAGCATTTTTTTTTAATTTACTTTTTTTGGCAGTATCCTGGCAGTAGAACCTTTCCAAAAGCCCGCTCCAAGACCTGTCCGCCATTGCTTGATCCTATACGCGAAAGTGACGTCAGAGTTCGGAGATGACTCGGACCCAATCACGCGCTTCGTGATGATCGAGCGATTGAGACCACCAATGTTGTTCGATGGAATTTTTAAAAGGGTCTATCGAGGAGATGTGCGTGCGGAAAGGATATTTTACTGTAAAACTATTACATTGAAAATATACCTTAAATATACTTTCTGAAATGTTTCATAAAGAACTACAAAATTATCATATTTTAGAGTACCTCGTTTTTACCGTTAGGTATGCTTATTTGGTACACTGTTCTTCCTTGTATATTGGAGGGTAGTATTTTGCCATAATTACAACAAAAACAATTTTTTTTACCGTTTTGGCAATTTTTTATTAAGACAGCCCCACGAACTGGTGGGCTAATTGCGTACGCAGTACTGTTGAGACCGGTTATAACGAAGTCAACGGGATTCTAAAATCACTTGGATATATCCGCTGTTTCGTTATAACCGACTTCGGTTATAACGAAGTGCAAAAGGGAATGGGAATTCGTGATCGCTTCGCTGTAGACGCTATTTCGTTATAACCGACTTCGTTATAACCGGTCTCGACAGTAGCTCCAATTTTATCCGCCTGGAACGGCTGTTGTGTCATTATCACCTATAAGACAAAGCTTGCCCCCCCCCCCCCTTTCCATCCCTTCAAATGTCATCACTAAAGTGATCATGTTTGCACGACCAACACGACGTTAGTACACGGCGTCGTCAAGACGGGTACGCCTGCCACTTTGCTCTGCGGACGCTTCCGTCGAGCTTCGGATTGCCGTGAGGGGCGGGTCGGGAACCCACTAACGATGACGTCATGGGGAGGCCTTGTCTTGTAGGCAGTATTTGGTTGTGTACATATAGTCACAGAGCTATGACACCACTTGTTCTCCTAATCCACGCAACAAAAAAGAAAACGAAAAAAAAAAGATGAAAAACGAAAGAGTTGTTTATTGCTACCTTTGTAACCATTATTACGGCTGTTGAAACGTCGCGCTCTGTGTGTGTATACACGTTTTGGTTGCCCATATAAAACTGGATGTTATACTGGCAGAATTTAACGGGGGAAATTTCGCCCCGAAAAGTGTCACTATGAGTGTGGTTTATAGAGAGGTTTCGCGTGATGGTACTTCCCCGAGAAATCTCGCCGGACGCCATGTTGGTGAACCG